TTTATTTTTAATTAAAATAAATTTAATCAGTAATCATTTTTAAATATTTTTTTTAATTTGAAAAATCACCGAAAGAATATATTTTATTTTTAATTAAAATAAATTTTATCAATAATCTTTTTTAGTTGCAACTAATTTTTCTTAAATGTAAGTAATTTTTTGGTATATTTGTTTATTTTTATAGATCTAAGTACTCTTTTGGTTCAAAAAATGTTTAGAAACTTAATTGTTCAAAATATGAAAGTTCATTGGATTTTTTTTCCAGATTTTTTCCATTATTTTACTACATTAACCAGTTGTATATGTCATAAGAATGTATCTAACATGTTTTAAAAAGTTCAATGAGTTATTTAACATGTTTTTGAAATGTCTAAGGACTTGTTTGTTCCAAAAAATTGTTCAATGATTTAATCATTCCAAACACTAAAGTCCATTGGTTTTTTTTTAGACTTTTCTTTAACAGAAAATAGAAAGTGTGTGTTTTGTTTAGGGCAAAAAAGGTAACGAGTTTTATTCTAATTAAATTGATATAATTGAAATATCAGGTTCATGTATATGCAAATTGCCATTCACATGATCGGAACAAATTTTAGGTGTTTTGGTGGATACGAGCTTTATAAATCTTAATTATATTTGCAACAGGAGGGGAACGGATTTACGTTTAATAGTTTACACTGTGTTATTAAATTTGGGGAGAAATGAAATGAAAAATGTCATTTTTATTGATATTTTTTTGAAAGACAGACAATAATTGTATTAAGCAAAAACGAGAAGGAAAAACAAAACCAACCACTGCGAGATGCAATGGTCAAAGGAAACACGAAACAAATCAAACTGGTAGTTAACGAAGAGAAAACAAAACAAGGAACAGAAAGACGAACTAAACTCGAAACAACGAAAATGAGAGCTTAACTAAATTATGAGATGGGAGAAATATGGTGCGGTCCAACGATCCACTACTCCCAACTCAAAGACTCCTTGTGTGATCGTCTGAAATCCACTCGAACACTTGAGTTCTTATTTCGGCAAATAAAGCATCATTCGAAGGCATCTTGCCGTGAAAAACCGTGTTATTTTAGTGACCCCGAACTAGGTAAAGAGTAGCTCAAACGAATACTTTCCACATCCTCTAAAGCCAAGAGGAAAACGTGATAGCACCTGGATGATTTACATTACCAACACACCGTATTTCCCAAGTTGTTGTCAAGAGCCACCATGTCCGAAGTAATTCCCAAATTTCTGATGGAAATTGCATCCCATAAGACAATGATCCAATAATTCATTTTTACTAATATACTATTTAAAAATATATCATTTAGAATGAAAAAGTGGGTCATTTTGTAATTTCAATAATTTTTAAGGGTATTAATTTATTTTATTTTCTTTAATTTCCTCCCACATCTGCAAGAAATTTTTTAGCAGGAAATTTATCATTATTTTTCTTTTCGTTATCTCTTAAAAAGTTTCAAGAACCCAATTCCCCTTTACCTTCTTTACTTCCTTTCATAAAAAATGTCTTGAGAATACAATGTTAATATAGTGGAATATTTCATCTGTTCAGGGTTCGTTTGCAGACACCAGACATACACAATTAAGGTGGAAGTCCGAAAGTAAAAGCAAAGCCTATAGAGACTGGTGTCCCAAAAAGTCTGTAAAATTCATAGAACCTATTTCAATTTCCCAAATCCAAATCTGTTTCAATATGTTGCTGTGGTTTGAGCTAATAGCCTCATAAGTACAAAAATTAAGACCAAGCTATCATCATATGTCAACTACAATCGAAGATGGCTTTGAATGTGTTCGATTTACAGAGAGCAGTTTTTGAATCCGGGTAAACGAATTGAATGATTTATGAATCAGGATAGATTGAGCGATAACCAACTAAATCGGATACAAGGTTGAGCGATTTAACACAGCTATTGAGCGATTTAGTTGAAATCAAAAGAAGACTGTTAATTGATGAACGATTTCCCTTGAACCCAGCTTAAATCGGACAGCAAGAACCTTGAGCGATTTATAAATCCGTTGAGCAAGATACTGTTGGTGAGCGATAAACATGGATATCTTAAATCGAGATGGATACCTTAAATCGAGATGGATACCTTAAATCGAGAGGTAGAAGACGGTAGAAGATGGTAGGCGCAGCAATGGAGAGCAACTGGAGATGAGCGACCGACTGGAGAAATGAGCGACTGAGAGTGCAGGCGGCGATGGAGAAATCGACTGGAGATGAGCGACCGACTGGAGAAATCGAGGGCTTGAGAGTGCAGGCGGCGATGGAGACCGACAGGAGATGAGCGACCGACTGGAGAAATCGAGGGCTTGAGAGTGCAGGCGGCGATGGAGACCGACTGGAGATGAGCGAGTGGAGACCGATCGAGAGATGAATGATTCCAGCAACAGCGATGGAGAAATCGGGGCTTGAGAGTGCAGGCGGCGATGGAGAGGTTAGAGCGACGAGGAAGGGGAATCAAATTAAGAGGTTTTCAGAGTTAAATTTACATCTAACCGATTCAGACAAAATGAGACATTTTCAGCACTTAATTTATAAAAAAAACAAACGCACTTAATTCCTCTAGGTCTGAATCGGTCAGACTTAAGAGGCAATTAAGTGATTTTTTAGAAAAACAAACAGGGCCTAACACTTGTGACAATTAAGACCTGATTTTTGACGGGATTAATACACCGGGGCACCCTTAACAAGCAGACACAGCGTTAATGTACAATACGACGTCGCACGGAACAAAAATGACAGGGGTATTTTTGTCTTTTGGGACTGCTGATAGAGCATGAGATTTCAGGGGCAAAGTGGCGCTCAAATCACCGGTGTACACGAAACCCGTAACCAAATTCCTCCCAAAATCTCTCCTCCATTCGCATAACTGTTTCATACACTTTGAATTCAATCGGATTTCAGATTGTGGGAAGAAAGAGGGAAATTCATAAAAATGTCGTGCAGGATAGTATTTCGAACTGTGATGCTCACCGAGCCATGGCGAGCTTCCCCTAATCGCACCTCCTTTTCCTTATCCTTAGCTAATCAGAAATCTAGAACATCAGCTTCGAATTCAAGATGTGGATTTAGAATCCCTACAAAAGTTAGAGATATTATAGCGGAAAGACGAATACATCAACGGTTTAATTGCTCTCATGATGAAAACCTATCGTCATCGTCTGCTGAGAGTGACCAGGAACCTCCTCAAGAAGCCGTTCTCAAGGCTATTTCAGGTACTAACATTTATCCCCAATTACAGTTTTATTTTGATTCGGATTCGAGTTAGGTGGTAATTGGGATGGACAGTTATGGAGATAGAGTTTGCAAATGAAGGATTCTAATTGTATTTTGAAATGCCATGGATTAAATTTGGTAGGGGGTTTGAAGGATTTTGATAAGTGTGGTTATGACTTATGAATAATGGATTAACTGATTTGATGTTGCATTCTTAAGCTGACTAATTCTACTTCATAATCCACTTACCACTGTTTTCCAATGCTGAAGATGATGGATGGAATCACCGTTTTCAGATTATGTTAGATGCAATGTTGCTTATTGTTGGTTGATGAAGATGCATATTGTATGAGATACTCCATCGTGTAGATTATAGAGTTCATTCACCAAAATTTTCATAACTTGAAGAATTTACACCATTGTGACAAGTAAATTTGAGGAGATTGTTTCCTTATGTACCACATGGGACTCTTAAACCAGAACAAAGTTCTTCGCAAAGTACATGATAGTTCTGGAATGGTGGAGCAATAGCAAGTAGGTGGATAATTGCCAATGGTAGTGGTGTAAAATTGAAAGAAAAACAAGTTGCAATTGTTTGAATGGAATCGAATGATTTCGAATGTACCAGCAGTCTCTAGAGGCGGGGTCTCTCCCAAGGCTTGAGCCAGAAAACACAATAACCAATACCCCCGCTTGATTCGCCCCCTATCACGTAGCAGAAATAAATCATTTTCGTTTACCCTCGTACTATCATTATTACCTTTCAACTACTACTACCATGAAAGGCGGACCTAGAAATTTTTTCAAGTGGTGGCATAGTTTGACTATAAGAAATGAAGATATGCGTAAAATCATCACCGGTCAGTTGGTTAGTTCCTTGCTTTTCATATGTGAGGTCATGTATTCAAGTCCTTTATTGCAATTTGTTTTAAAAAACATAATAAATCTGAAATTAAAAGCTAAAAACTAAGCAAATGACACAAATGGGATTCGATGGGGGAAAAATCTTGCTAACCAACTCTACCAAGGGGAATTTGTGTTCTCATTGTAGTTTCAAAATATATACAGTTGCATACAACAAAATAATACAGTGACACCTTTCATTACCCTATAATTATTTACATTACGACATCATATCACTAGACTAGTGTGGATCCACCCGTGACTACTGCTACTAAATATACTTTGTCCTCCTCACATACGTGATATTTTTATCAAGTAGTTGGTGTGAGTTGTTGTAAAGTTGCTAAGACTAACTATTGAGTTTGATTCAGAAGTTTCAAAGACCGAAGGTAGAGTTGGACAAACCACAAACATGGTTCTTGGAGGAACGGTTACTGATGATTCAACCGACGAGTGGCTCTCTCTTGATCAGAAGGTATATGTTACTTTTTCTTATTTTCAACTACAATGAGTTGTTTATCCTAAACTAGTTAGGCTATACTAAAATCAAATCCATTAGCAACTGATAGAGGTAAAAGCATCAATGCTGTAGACAATTATTAACATCTTTCTAGCATTTCCTAAAGAACACCAATTACATCTGTTTGTATTCCAAATTTGCATTGTCCACACCTGGATCAGGTTTTAAAACACCTTTGATAGAGGAGGTATCTAGTCCCTTATAAGACAACCTTTGCTCCCCTCCCCAACCGATGTGGTATCTTACAATTCACCACCCTTGGGAGGCCAACGTCCTCATCGGCACACCATTCCGGTTCCGGACTCTAATACCAATTATGACATCCCAGGCTAACCGCACCAAATACTATCCACTTTGTCCACACCTGGACTCACAAAAAACGTGTCTGATAAGAGGAGGTATCCAGTCCCTTATAAGGAAACCTTTGTTCCCCTCTCCAACCGATGTGGGATCTTACGACCCACCCCCTTGGGAGGCCAACATCCTCGTTGCACACCTGTCCTTGAAATAAATATGTATTGACTGGAAAATGAGATAAAAAGTGACAACCTTTTAGATGAATTGACCTTGGAAGGAAAATAAATCATGAAAAAAATAATAAAATCAAAATGGGAGAAAAATTAACAAAATATTGTCTTGCCATAGTGGTAGTAACGTTTATAATTGTATATTAAAAAACAAACTTTCACCTAATAGATTTGAAACCATGACCTCTTGTATATAAAGTAGTATTCCAACCATCTTGCCTATGTTTAGTTTCTGACATAGATTTGGTTTCAAAGTATTTAATGGCACCCCTCGAAATCACGTGGATGTACCTATCAAACGGCTAACTTTTTTTCTCTTGCAATAATCGAGTGAGCATGTGCACGGGAGCTACTCACCTCCTAATAGGTCCGCCCCCAGATCCAACCTTGGCCTAAATTTGTCAGAAAAATGATGATTCTTTGTTAAGAAGACAGTATATCCATGTTATCTTCTTTTCTATCTGAACTTTCTTCTAAGTAAGATATATTCACTACCCATAATTATTAAGGTACAATATATTGTGCTTGTTTGATTATTTCTTAACAATCCCCTACATTTTGCTGTGGTTATTGATCTCAAAGTCAATCCAAATGATCATCATGGAGATTTTCATACCATATAAAGCACTGCTGCATTAGTTTCTTAGGGAGTGTTTGTTAGCAGCTTAATGAGCTTAATGAGACTCACAACTTATTCCGTCAGCTATACATGACTGTTTGGTAGTGGCTTAATGATATGGAAAGTGGCTTATTCAGTAAGCTTTAGGGGGAAGCTTTAAGTTTTTTTCAAACAATCCCCTCCCAATCTCTTCTGACAGACTAATCCACATAAACAGTTTTATCCATACAAGATTTAATGGAAAGCCAACCAAACAACCGCTTAGTCAGAGCCATCCCGAAACATCCTCATTTCTAGTTATGTTTTATTGGTCCTCGATTCTACATTTACCCTATAAACCTAGTATATCTTCTTGTTGAACTATAAATTTACCCTTTTAGTTTTTAGTCAGATTTTTTTCAACATTGCAAATGCTTTTAGCTACTCAGATTATTAAAAATGTCAATTATGTTCCGATCACATAATAACTTTCACTCATGATTTGCGAATAACCATATGTACCAGGTAAAATTTATGGAAAAGGGTACTGGTGAAAAATTTATATTGTTAGAAATAGAAAATAAAACCATATAACTCTTTCAACCACAAAGAGTTAAAACACCCAAATCTAACTGTAACTTTGGAAGGGAGACGGTAACATTTTAGCTTCAACAACATTGCATGATAAACAGTCAAATTTCTATAACGGGTAACTGATTGTCGGTGAAGAAGGGCAGTTGAGTCAATTTATACTACTCTAGTAGTCTAGTTAGCTAGTCGGTTAGATAGTGCCGTGTATATATTTCCATATCTATATGCTGTTTTCCTTCAATGAATTCACTTTTCAGTTTCACTGCCTACTTAGAGCATCTCCAACAGATTCTTAAAAAGTTATCCAGATTGGAGTATCGAAGTTCAAAATCTCTAAAAATAATTGCATTTCAACTCCAACAGATTCTCCATTTTTGAGATTACATCATTAGTTATATTATTAAAATATTTCATACATTTAATAAAATATTATGTTCTCTCTCCAAAACATTTCATTTCAATGTTTTTTATTGGTGGAATATAATAAAAAATAATTTCTCTTTCATGGTAATCATTTGTGGAGAGTTCTCCGTATTTGGAGAAATTTACATTCTCTCCTACTTTCTCCGTTTTGGAGAATCTGTTGGTGCATAAAATTGTCCAAAATCCCCATTTTCTCTATTTTAGAGAATCTGTTGAAGATGCTCTAATGGCTAGAAGATTTTATCTCTGTGTGCCACGTGTTTAGTTATCGAGTTAAATAATTTTACTTATTCATATAACAGGTAAACACGTACCCAACGGTAAGAGGATTTACAGCAATTGGAACCGGAGGTGATGATTTTGTGCAAGCTATGGTAGTTGCTGTTGAGTCAGTCATTCAACACCCAATTCCACAGGTACATATTTCTTAAACTGCATCCTTCGTTAAATATGATGATGAACCTGCTAATTGTACCAAATATTGTCTGCTTTGTCCATACTTGGACTCACGGTTAAAAAACGCGTCTGATAGAGGAGGTATCTAGTCTCTTGTAAGACAACCTTAGTTCCCCTCTCCAACCAATGTGGGATTGTACAATCCACCCCCTGGAGCCCACCAGCATTGCCGGCACACCAGTTTGGTTCCCGGCTCTGATACCATTTGTAATGTCACAAGCTAACCGTACCAGATATTACTTTTTCCATACATGGATCTATGATTTTAAAACGCGTCTGATAGAGGACGTATCTAGTTCCTTGTAAGGAAAGATTTGTTCCCCTCCCCAACCGATGTGGGATCTTACAATTCACCCCCGTGGAGGACGCTCGCACAACAGTCTGGTTCTTGGCTCTGATACCATTTGTAACATCACAAGCTAACCATAATGTATGCCTTTCCATACATGGACTCACAATTTTAAAACACGTTTGATAGTGGAGGTATCTAGTCCTTTCTAAGACAACCTTAATTCCCCTCCAAACCGATGTGGGATCTTAAAATCCACCCCGCTTGGGAGCCCAACTTCCTCGTTGGTACACCAGTTTGGTTCCTGATTTGGAAACCATTTGTAACATCACATGCTAACTGTACTAGATGTTGTCTGCTTTGCCCATAACTCACGGTTTTAAAACGCATCTGATAGACAGTTCCTTATAAGGCAACCTTAGTTCCCCCTTCCCCAACGATATGGGATCTTACAATCCACCCCCCTTGGGAGCCCAACTTCCTGACTCGTAAACTGTTTGTAACATCACAGGCTAAGTGTACCATATGTTGTCCACTTTGTCCACACATGGATTCACGATTTTAAAGTGCGTCTAATAGAGGAGGTGTCCAGTTCCTTATAAGGCAAACTTTGTTCCTCTCCCCAACCGATGTGGGATGTTACAATGAAAATATCAATAGGCTAGTAGTAAAAGTATTGGGATTATGTATGAGGTCTTGAGTTCAAATCATTGTAAGATCCCATATCAGTTGGGGAGGAGAACAAAGGTTGCCTTATAAGGGGACTGGAGACCTCCTCTACTAGATGCATTTAGCGTGGACAAAGCAAACAATATTTGGTATAGTTAGCATGTTACAGATATTGTCACATTTGGATCTTGTTTTATAGATGCAGACATGGGGCAAAACCCCGAAGAATCTGGGGTTTTTGTCATTCATGACTCGGCATCGATTATGGTAATTGCTGAAACAGAAAAAAATGATTGATAATCACACACACAAAATAAGAATGCAGAAACGACAAATTGCACACAATACTTATATGGTTCAACAACTTGTCTACATCCATGGCCACTTTTTACGATTTTATTGTAGTTAGGGAACTCTTGAATAGTACATTCGTCATCGAAGAAACCTCCTATTCCGATGAATTTAGGGTTTTGGTAATCCTCGATGTTAACGGTCATAACTGTCCTGATTGATTTCTTAAACCATGAAACCGTAATCCTCTTTCTCAATTTTTTTCCCAACTTCATACTATGATATTTACAAGAATATTGATAAAAGGCAATTGTATTGGATGATTGTAGCATGAGATGGTAAAAAGACACAAATGCCCTCCACATGAATTTTCGGTACTCTAGACCTTCTAACGCCTAGGCTTTTGCTTTCTGTTTACATGATGCACATTTGGCTGATTTAGGCAACCCAAGATCTCTTTGGACTTGATCCAACTTGGTTATATGATTCTCTAACAGGGCCAGGTGAAGCAGAAAATGTCATCTGGTGGGAAGTATGTATCGGTGAACATTGGACCCGTTCAAGTAGTTTCTAGCGAGCAGGTCCTCTCTCTCTCTCTCTCTCTCTCTCTCTCTCACACACACACACACACACACTCCGCATTGAACTTCAAAATTCAATAACAAATTGTATATGTTCAAGTAAACAATATAAATTGAAACCGATGGTGTTTAATTGCTAATAAAATTGATATTTTTTGGTCGCTTATTTATTATTAGTATCGGTGGTGTTGGGAGGGTATTTCATCTTGATGACTATGGGCCCCTTCTTTTTAGAAGGGTGTCCTAGGCTATGTCTAGACTAATCCTGGCAAAGTGTGACTGCAAGAAATCAAATCTTATAAACCCAGTGGCTACAATTGTTATGTATGCTTGGAATCGAACCCTAGGCAGTTTACTAACAGTTTAATGAGCTTAATGGCGTGGGCAGTTTATCCGCTGAACTATAAATGAGTGTATTAAACCAAAATTGGCTATATGGAATAAGGCAGAACCCTTCTATTGTCTCCATTAAGCCACCTCAAACAAAATAAAACCAAAAATGCGTTAGAAGTAATCCAACTCTCTCTTTGCCTCTCACACCCATCTGTCTCCATCCCTAAGATAGACAAATCTATACCCATGTAGGGCTTAATGGAAAAGCAGAAGTAAATAACCCTACATAATGTTTCCATATCTTTTTCAGGTTCAAGCTGTATACAATGCCATGAGGAGAGATGATCGAATGAAATACTTTCTGTAGCGCATTTCTCTTCGCCTTATGTATGTATGCAACACCGATCATCTCGTTACGTTCTCATGCTTTTCCTTTTTCTTAACTAATATATGCCCTTTGTTCTTTCACATGTCTTTGTTTCATCAAATCATCATTGAAACCTCAAACTCATCTCCCAACTTTCACCTCAGAGGTAGTCTGAAATCTAAGTTTTCTTTCTGCAAGGTTAATGGTTGCATTTATAGTTTTGAATGAATGCATACTAGGGGAATAAAGTGGCTATTTAGTCAATGATCTTATCGACCCACAACTTAATAGGTGAGTTATACATGACTATTTGATAGTGACTTAATGATATAGAAAATGGCTTAATGATATAAAAAGTGGTTTATTCAGTAAGTTTTTAGGGAAGCTTTATGCAGGAAGCCAAGATTTTCCAAACCTACTCCTAATTAAAAAACACGCTATTTCCATCATTGAAGCACCCCTCGAACAAAGACCTTTCCAATCTATACATAGACAGAACAAAAAATCACAAGTTTAAGAGTAAACTACAATTTTCGTTCTTCTGGGTTGTCAAGAATAATACTTTTAATCATTACAGTTTCGAAATTACAAGATGTCCATAATAGTTCGTAAAAGAGTCTGGATTTGATCACTCCCTCCCATGACTGTTAAAAAAATTAAGCGGGTAGTATTTTCATCATTTTATCAAAAAAATTTATCATTTACCTGACCAAAAACCACATAAATCCAATCATAAAATCGATTTTAATTGGTTAAGAAACAAAAATATAAATCAATAAAAGAATTTTTTGCATTTGATTCAGTTAATTAGGTTAAAATATGCCTTACATTAGAGGGAGGAACCAAATCCGACATTTTTATAAACCATAATGGCTATCTTATAATTTCAAAATTATAGAGATGAAAAATGTTATTTTTGAAAACCACGAAGACCAAACATGTAGTTTACTCCAAATTTAAACAAACCATGAGAACATAAATCATAATTTACTTATTTCTGGAAAAAAATAGGAAAACCTAACAAAGTATTCCATTTTGAATGATTAAGTCCATAAACTATTTTTTTTGAATGAAAAACCATTAAACTTTATCATTTTAAACGATTAAGTTTCTAAATATTTTTTTCAAAAAAATAAATCATCGGACTTTTAAAAATTGATTAGTTACATCATTTTAACCTAAAAAACTACATGTAAGTGGCTGAGAAGATATTAAAGTAAAACTACTTATAACCCCTAAAAATAGATCAAAAAAAGAGAGAGATTGATTACACGAGTCAACAATACGATAACCGATACGAAGTACACACAACAATGGGACGAGAGAGAGTGATACCGTTGTTTGCGAGGGGTCTTGATGGGCGTATGATTTAATGTTTTTGTTAAAATATAAATTTTAAAACTTTTCTAATGGGTTACAAATAGTCCTTTTAAAATATTTTAGATAACTAATTTTTAAAAATTCGATAATTCATTTAAAAAAATTCAAAGATTGAATCATTCAAATAAGAAAATTTATAGTTTTTTCATTAATAATAATTTTATATTTTTTTAATTAACTTAGATATCTTACTCGTTATGCGAGCCAATTAATCCTAGGACGACCACCTGCTTTACAGATAGTTCGGAGTCATCGCATTTGACCTCCGTGGCCACAAGGGGATTTTTATTTCTTCTTGAATTTGAAACTGAGACCTCCCGATACTTTTGACATTTTGAGCTAAACTCAAACCAATCAAGCACCACCTTTGTAGTTAAATAATTCTATATTTAATCATTTAAAATAAAAATAAAATATAATTAAATAAAGATTTAAAATATTCTTGTGGCAATTAAATCACAAGGTTTTCGGGGAATTGTGGTGACACATCCAAGATTTTCTTCCATGCAACCGACCATACCAACATTTCGTGTTTCCACTTTCCCTTCCACCGGAGATCTCAAAATGATGAACAACCTTCCGCCGCTCCCTGACCGGAGACTCTTCACCATATTCACCGTCGTCGCCCTCATCGGTTTCTGCCTTATCATCTCTAGTTTCATCGGCGCCGGTGATAGCGGTCTCTTCTGTACTGAATCCATCTCCGACGAATTCTATTCCACCACCACAACACCGCTGCAACTCGACGCCATCCTCCACTACGCCACCGCCTTAGTCGTCCCTCAACAATCTCTCGCCGAGATCACAATCTCCTTCGATGTTCTCCTCTCCATTTCCCCCTGCAATTTCCTCGTTTTTGGGTTAGGTCACGATTCCCTAATGTGGGCCTCGTTTAATCCACATGGCAAAACGCTATTCCTTGAAGAAGACGCAAAGTGGGTCCTTAGCGTCCTTAAAACCGCCCCAGATCTAAACGTCTTCACCGTCGATTACCAGACGAAACTCTCCGACGCCGACGATCTCCTCAATTCGTATCACTCCGAACCGGAATGTTCACCATCCAGAGCTTTTATTCAAGGTAACACCCGGTGCAAGTTAGCAATCACCGGTCTACCAGATGAGGTTTACGATACTGAATGGGATATCATCATGATCGACGCACCGAGGGGGTATTACAACGAGGCGCCGGGAAGAATGGGGGCGATTTACTTCGCCGCCGTCATGGCGAGGAATCGTAAAAAACCAGGAATAACGCATGTGTTTTTGCATGATGTTGATCGGAAAGTGGAGAAGGAATACGCCGAGGAGTTTTTATGCCGGAAGAATTTGAAGAAAGGCGTCGGAAGATTGTGGCATTTCGAAATACCTCCGGCGGAGAATGTCACCGGCGGTGGCGCAAGGTTTTGCTAGGATCACAATCGGCGGTGGCGTATTGTTAGGTTACAGGCCTGTTTGCCACCTTTTGTACCAGTACGATGACCAAGTATTTTGGTTATGGAAATAGTGACCAAAATCGTTTGTATATGTTTTTAGGTTTTCAGAAAACAAATTATTATTATTTTATTGTTATATTTATAAAACTTGCACGTACAAATTTGGAGTTTATTTGGTTGGTTAATTCATGTTATGTATTCATAAAGTTGTCTGTATGAATTAATCTACCTTAATAGATTAAGAAGGTTTTTATTTGGATGAGTATGAAAAAAGTTTGCTTTTTAATGGGAAAAACATGTTTAGAAACAATTTGATTTTTTGTATAAAGTTTCTTTTTACTGAATAAGTCATTTTTATATCATTCGACCATATCAAGTAGTAATTATACTGAATAAGTCACTTTTTTACTATTGCAGGTTCTCTCCCTCAATTTCCCTCATGTAGGTTCGCTCTATCGATTTCCTTATTGTTGCAGGTTTGGTGGAGATTTGTTGAAAACTCCACCACACACCACCATCACAGGTTCCTTCCAGTCTCCACAGTTCCTTCCCTTTGGAGATTTATTGAAGACTCATCATTTCTTATGTTTCTTCTGCCGGTTCATACCATTTGCAAACCTGTTTTTCTTCTTTTTGTTTCATGAAACAAAATCATGGCTCTCATATGTAGATATACTTTCTTCTTGTTATTTGCTATGCGGGCTCAACTCTCGCACTCCTCCCATCCGCGAGTTCACAAGAAGTAGAATTCTAATTGGGAACTTGGGACAGTGAACAATGAGTTTTTTTTGTTAATGAAAAGGCTAAAAACAAAGAAAGGGAGTAAAATGGTCATTTATATTATTCAGACAACTTATTCAACACAACAACCAAACAACAATTTATAAGTTATTATACAGACAACTTTATCCATCCAGGTCTTAACAAAAAATTAACCGAACAATCCCTTAGAAACTTATAGGAATGTAAACAAACCGATAATTCTAAGCCCTGAAACTACCATAAGGTGTTTGGCTTAGCTATATATGGTCTATTTAACTTGAATAGGATTTTACCAGATCCCGAGTTTGAATCTCCTTGTTGATTCCCAAAAAAGGTCGTTTGATTGATTCATAATACTAAACACGGGTTATTTAGCTAAATGTCCTTCTGACATGGTTTTCTAATTCTTGTCTTTCTTACAAATCTTAAGAATATTTTTGCCCAACTGAAAAAATGTCTCCTCTTTCAAATACAAGAATGCCTAAAAACCTGTCATTAGACCATCTAACTAAACAACCCTCGATCATTTGGCTGAATGGTCTTTTAATAGATTTTTTTTATATCAACGATCTTCTGTTTTTTATGCAAGTGTGAATATTTATACAAATTTCTGTAAAGATTTTTTATTATTATTATTTTTTAAATTAAAAATCAAGTTTATATAAATACATAACCGTACTTGAACATATACAAAAAAGAATAAAATATTTTAAAAATAATTATAATAATATTTAATCCGATTATATTATTTTATACTCATAAAAAAATTAAAATGTCGACTTTAAAAAATAATGATAGATTTAAACAATAACAAAAAAGAAGTCAAAGTTCAACCAAAGTTTACAAAACGTGATAATCATGTTCGGTATCATCTCAACCGTTGATTCCGTCAAAACTCCATCTATCTACAATTCCCATATTTCTTTCAACGGTTTTTTAATTATATAATATAATTAGTTTATTTACTAATTTATTAATTTTGTTCGTTAATTTTAGTTGAATCTTTTTGTCAACCAACATCTCTGTTTCAGTTCTCCAAATTCCCATTTTTATGCCATCTTAAACCTCGTCCAGTTGTCTCCCACATTCCCTTGTCGTTAGTTCTTGCAATCATGCTACAATGCTAACGTTGGTTGATGATTTTGTTAAATACGTCTCAATTTTTTTATATTTTAGTTTCAAGATAAATCAATTCATCTAATGTTAATTTTTATATATGTTCAAACCAATTCATCTAGAAGGAAATTATATAAATTAAATAATAATGTAAATTATTATTCGGTTAACCGATATGGAGCAAAATAACCGAAACTTACTTTATTCGGTTATCTTAACCCTTTAACCCGAAACCGAATAACGTAAAACCGTTTTGATTCTGTTGAGTTAGTCGGTTTCAGGATTTTTATACCATTAGGCTCCCGATCACTTAAGTTTCTGGATCCATTACTGTGTATCTAGTACTCGTACGACTAACATGCAAGTTGTGCATTTTCAGTGTCACCCTCCACTGCTCCAACCTGTTGTTCATATGTACCTCCGACTCTGTAATAAGTATAATGTCGTCAAATTCTTGGTTTTTACCATATTTATCCAATAAAATATCTTAACTTAATAAGCGTTTGGTAAATCAAATCCAAATCAAAATCAATAAAAACAAAACAAGAGGATGAGAAACACCAATAAGCAAAGTAAACCATTTGCGTCCATAACAATCCTCAAATCGCAAACTTCCAAACACGCCCACCCTCCAAATTCACACGCTTCTACGTGTACAATTCCATCACCACTTCAATTTATCCCAATCTGTGTGAACTGTATATTACTGATATACATCGCATCCCCAAATATCAATTCCATTCACCCAAAAAATCTTCACAGTTCCTTCCTATTATAATCAATTCTCCTCATCATCGATCCTATACTCCCTCTACGAACCTCAATTCTTCGATATCCGATATGGGTCCGATCGTCTTAACTCAGATCGCGACTGGTCTCTCCGTATTGGCCGGAGCCGCTTTGTTGAAATCGGTAATGGATCAAAACCCGATGATGGGTCCGGGTTCAGGTGAGTTCCCAAGGTGTTCACGTTGCAATGGAACGGGTCGGGTTACTTGTCTTTGTAATCGGTGGTCCGACGGGGACCGTGGGTGCCGGACTTGTGCTGGTTCAGGTCGGATGATGTGTAGTAGCTGTGGTGGTTCTGGTACTGGTCGCCCGCTTCCCGTTCGGATCTCGGTTCGTCCTCCAAATCAACCGTATTAACCCGGTAAACCTATTTGGGTTTCTGTAATTGTAATATCTTGAGTAAATTCTTAGTTCTTTTGAATGATGGAAACGAAATTCAGATGTAAAATACTCTTCTATTCATTCAATTACACTCTCTAATTACGTATATATAATCATGTATTATAAGTTGATTTGAGTGGCGATTGAGATGTTTGTGATCACATTTTGAGGATTCTATCAATATATACATACACACACGCTATAAAATACCCCTTTTATGGATGATTTTTGCGAATTTGTTTGGATGATTTCTGGGAATTTGTATGAATGGGGTATAAATTCATTTTTCATGAATAATTTGTGGTTTAGTCTATGAATCAGCTTTCAGAAGTGCATATTTAGGGTTCTATTGAACTGGGTTTGCATTGAATAAAAGGTGTAATCTGTCCAATTTCATGTTTAAATGTGTTTTAACTTCTTGATTATAGGTTAAATATGTGTTTTAGGGTTTAAACTTGGCAATTTCTATGATTTTTTGATGATTGTTGGATGAAAACTTTGTATATAACTTGTTAATTTGTGTAATCGAGCTGCGAAGGTTCTTGATTCGGTCTTAATCTTTAAGAATGTTGATATTTTTTTGGGTTGCACTTAATTGCATCACAGTATATGCAAAACTTCATGTGATTGTTTGGTTGGTTTTTGATCAAGTTCTTTGTTGATAAAGCTCTTTGTGTGGATTAATCTGACTATATAGATTGAGAAGGTTTTTGTTTGGGAGGCTTTTTCATAGATGGAAGGAGCTTGTTTTTTAATCGAGGGAGACATGTTTGGAAAAAAAACTTGACTTTCTGTATAAAGCTTCCCTCTAAAAGCTTACTGAATAAGTCACTTTTTATATCATTAAGCCACTACCAAACAGTTGTATATAGCTGATTGAATAAGCTATGAGTCCGATTAAGCCCATTAAGTTGCTAACAACATGCCCTAAATATTGTCTTTATGTTTTTTTGACTAATTTCCTTAACGATGAGCTTCATGAGAGATTTTGTAAAGCACTACGAATTTCACAAGCCTAAAGATGGGAAGATTTCTTCCTTTCTTCTGTAGGATCATAGGTTTAAGCCTCACCTCTTTTCCCTTTTCCTTAAAAATAGCATAGAAATTGAAGAAGTGTTGTAATGATTTCGTAGTAAAGGTTGCAATAAGAAGTTAAGAACCGAGCACGTAGCCATATGCAGGAAAAAAATGGTGTTTTCATGGTTAAGTGAAACATTCCGGGCAACCGTACCGGATATTATCTCCTTTATCCATACCCGGACTCACAGTTTTAAAATACGTCTAATAGATGAGGTATCCAGTCTCTTATAAGACAAACTTTGTTCACTACCCAACCAATGTGGGGTCTCACCTCTCAACAACTCAAAATTGGCATGAGGACTAGTAGAAAGACCTATGTGATAGGTTAACCGGATAGCGTATGTGTAAAATGTGGTCGATGGTCCCGTTGGTTTCCTTATTTCACTATCTATAGGTTCTGGTATGTGTTTCTTGAATCCCATCTGCTCCCAAACCAATTTCTTTATCAGAAAGGATTGGGTCCTTGTAGCAGAGAGAATGGTTGGTCTCCTTTGTGAAGTAGTGTGCATTTACTAAAAAATTATGACATAAAACAAAGAGAATTTGAATAGAGAAAACACATAATGACACTACAATGAAGCTGGTGGTTGGGTTTATGATGCCCTGTGCAGGAATGCTAAAAAACGTCACTATGCCGATTTTTTAAGCAAATGAAACGTACTATTTTCTAAGGGTTTGGGACCAGTCAAGCAAGTCTCCTCATCCCCATACCAAAAGAATCAAAACAGTCAAACAAGAAGGGATGAGGTATAGTAGGAATCGGTTGGTTGTTCAATTGTTTGATGGCCGTATTCATGTTGTCTTTTTTTAATTAGATTAGTCGCTTAATTGATGTTCTGGACAGCTTGGGCTTGTTGTTTATAGCCCAGATGATTAAACCAAAACTAATAAACACATAAAAACTCGATGCTCTTTGGGCTTTTGTTGTCTTGTGCAGTTGCAAGGACTGCATGTGGCCAAGGCCAGGCCTGTACTACAAACACACACACACATATATGTATATATATATATATATGCATATATACACATATATATAGGCGAAAGATCGTGTGAGAAGGAGAGTTAAAGTGAGAAACGTAAGAAGGGTTTGGACCTTTGATCACTTTTAATCTCAAACTCACTCATGAATCGCACTTGATACAGAGATTGATCCGATGCATCTCATCATAGTATGCATCCAAGGGTAGAGATCCCTCAACTCTTCTTCTCACTAAAACTCAACTATATGTATGTGTGTGTGCGCGCACTAGTTTAGGTGGAAAAGAGAGGGAAATGGTTCCTTTTATGGAAGAGAAAAAAACAACTAGTCTTTGACATTTGAATGTGAGATTTCCATTTTTTGTGTTGGCATAAAAATGATTTCCAATTGTGGATAGAGGATGGTCACTTCTAGGGGTATTACTAAAATTTCACCTACCTCTATTAGTTTCCGTGTTCATGGATAGTTTTAGGACCATCCTTTCTATGATTGAGCCTATATTTTGAGCTTAATGAAAAAACCTCATTTCGTAAGCCATAAAATAGCTATTCCGGATAGTAGCTTATTGGGGGTTTTCCCACTTTTTCTAATTATACCCAGTATATTTTTAGGCCATTTTATTTTATATTGAAATTATCAGCTAGTTTTACCGAACATGGTTAGTTTATCAAGCCACAACCAGCTTTTTAGCTAACATCTAGCTTGTCAGCTAGTTTGCATATACAACCTATAACACGCCTCGATCTTGTATGCAGGGTACCCTATACCATCGTCTAATATCGTATAAGGAAAAATCGTGATGTTCATTGTGGGTTTTGTACTACCATGGGGCGAACAAAATAAAGAACGAGCATAAATGGTGTGAAGGAACATAAACCATCTTTTTCGATCAAGAATGCCTGCCATCATGGTCAATCTCTTTCATGACTTTCCTTGAACATCTTTTACAATCCCTTTTTAGCATACTTTAACTTCCATGAGTACATATTTATGACACAATAAACTCTAGCACGAGATTATAGAATTTTGCAGTTATTTTCGCATATTTTCTTGGTACTCGCTAGTGTTGCCAGACAGGCAAAGGCTCATTACTGTTTGTGCATCTAAGTACATAAAAGGGTACTCTGGAAGTCAGGTTTGCTTACATTAAGTGAGATATACTGGGTTGGGTTGGGTTGGGTTTGGTTTATGAAGGGCATTTTGGACCTTTCATGTTTTGTTTCTTTGCACTCGTCGATTTTTTAGATGCTTTGACTTTTGGGTTGCAGCACACAGGCATCGTCCAAGCCCAAGGTGTTCCCTCGGTGGATTATGAGGTAACTAAATGGTAGATAGTTACCAACTTGCACCATTTTCTTTCATTTTGTTCTCGTATAAATGGGCCCACAAAACAAAAAGGGTTAGAACGATTGGATTCATAGCATGTGAACTTCTACGAGGGCTGGTCCTCGAGTTTTTGATGCCCCGTGCAAAAATGCTAAAAAACTTCCCCTATTTTCTTAAACAAGTGAAACGACGAAAAGTACGAAAAAAATGCCCTATGCTAAAAAAAAATCCCCCTAAATGTTGGAATTTAGATAGAAAAAAAAAATCGTACCTACGACTTAGGTAGTAGGTTCAATTGATTTTTTTATGTGAGGAATCGACGAATCTCACTGAACCCTAAACCAATCTTCCACTTCTAGATTTGAAGAATACAATCGCAATCGCAATCGAAATCCCCGATGATTATTTATTAGATGAAGATTTGAAAACCTATAAATATTGAGATTTTAGAGTTGCCTAAATCCCTGAATCTTATGTCCATGCATATAGTAGGCATCGGTTGATGTGTTGTTTTAGTTAAAACTCAGTTGCCCAATTTCCCAAATTATTACACATAAAACTAGTAGTAGGTAAAAACTTGATTCCCCCTTGGACTTTGATGCGTTGTGCGGTGGCACGAGCTATACATCGCCAAACTCGGTCCTGACCCTGACCATAGGGGCTTTGGTGGTGTCTTGATTCCGGGAATTCATAGGTTTCTTGAGCTCTTCTATGGTGGCTTCCATAACAACGATGTTGGTTGATTAAAAATTAAGTAAATTACGATTTTCGTCCACACGGTTTTTATATTACGACTTTTGCCCCTATGGTTTACAATTTAATGTTATTTTCGTTCCTAGACTAATTCTTGTACAAGAGACCAAAACATTAAAGAATTGTGTAAACCAGAGGGAACGAAAGAACAACAAATTGTAAATTATAAGGATGACAATAGTAATGAATTACAAACTACAAGGACGAACCATAATTTTTAAATCTTAGGGATGTAAATCACAATTTTTTAACAAACCATAGGGACGAAAAACATAATTTACTCTTAAGAACGTATAGTTGCTACTTGCCGCAAAAATCATGGCATGGCTGGCATAGGAAGGTGAAAAAAAGGGTTGTCGATAGGTTCGTTTTCGGTATGGATAGCTTGGAACCAAGGACCTATTACAGCCAACATGGCTAAACTCACATTGAGCTCGAGCTTAGCATCTCTCAACCCAACAGCTCTAGTGTGGGGACGACATGAGCCAACTTTGAGCCTAGAACCTAAAATGGTTTAGGATTAGCAGCTCAAAGAGCTTAAGTGAGTCGAACTCCAAGCCTATACAAGCCATATGGGGATGCAATTTCTGTAGTTGTAATCGGCTGCAAAATTTGTAGAGATGGTTTAATATGTAATGTTGTACCATGATGTAACAATATTTAATGAGTGTCTGTTTGTTAGCGGTTTAATGAGCTTAATGAACCTCACAACTTACTTGGTCAGCTATACATGACTGTTTGGTAGTGGTTTAACGATATAGAAAGTGGCTTATTCAGTGAGCTTCTAGAAAACCTTATGCAGAAAGTCAAGTTTTTGCTAAACTAGCCCCTCCCAATTAAAAAATACATTTTTTCTATCTATGAAAAAACTCTCTCAAACAAAAAATTTCCCAATTTATATTGACAAATTAATCTACACTGACAACTTTATCAATGCGGAACTTAATGAAAAACCAACCAAACAGCTTCTAAGAGTACAAGTGATAATGCACAAGTCTAATGTTTAAAGTCTCACATAAGCTAAA